ACAGAACCATCCAGGGGAAAGGGATCCTTTGGGAGGTCTGTACTCCAGACTGCTCAAAGCAGGATCAACACTGAATTCAGGCCACATTGTTCAGGGCTTTATCCATTAGGTGTTAGAAATCTGTAGGAACAGATTTTTCACAGCCCCTATGGGCAACCTGATGCAGTGGTTGACTGTCCCTGTGGTGTGACTCTTCACTCAATTCCTGTTCAGATTTCGGTTAACACACAGCTCATGTTAAGGCCTGATGTATGCTGGGATCAGTCCCATTAGGTCAAAGCAAAGACAACATGTAGGTAGGACACAGTGGCCAGAAAGGGCTAAAGGTCATTATGCAGCCATTATCACCCTCATCTTGCCCTCTCCTGCAGCCATCATCCTTGCATATTGGTTGTCTGGCAGTTTCTTCCTAATCTGCTAACTCATTGAAATGGTGTAGACCAAACTTCCAAGCTGGAAGGCATAAATACGTCCACTTACCCAGAAAGTTTCTGAAGCAGATCCAACAGCAGCTGGACTGCTGAGGCTTTCATGCTTCCCAGTGTGATAGAGGGGACACCCACACCTTGATGGAGGAAGAAGGATGAATGCTCTCCCCATCAGCTAGGTAACTCTTTTGCCCATAGGTGCACAAATCGCAAGTTATGAATTGTGAGTTATTAATTAGAAAGCTTGTGAGTTAGAAACCTCATGGCTTAAGTGATGAATTAGTGAATTCACATGTTTGACTAGTCTGTACAAAGGAGATAGAACCCTTGTTTGTCATGTTTGATTTCTTTCCTGATGAACTCATAAAATGAAGTTTAATTTACAGAGTATGCTGACCTGTAAATTTGAGAGATCCAAATGGACCTTGACACCTTGGTAATATTTTTTTTTTCCTTATGTCAAGCACAAACTTATGAATTTGTGCCCATTGTCTCTTCTCATACCACCATGGACCTCTCAAAGGATATGATTCTATTTTCTTGACAACTTCCTAACTGATATCAGAAGGCTGCTATTAGGACACCCTGAGCCTCTTCTTCAGGCTGAACAAACCCATTTCCCTCAGCCCCACATCATAGGGCAGGTGTGTGCTCCACCCCAAACACCCCCTTGCATTACAAATGGATTCCCTCAAGTTTCTTACTGTCCTTCTTGTATTTGGGGTGTAGTATGTCCAAACCTGGATGCAGTATCCCAAATACTCGGAAAGGTGTCAAGAAAAGGGGAATAACCCCTGCCCTTAATCTACTGGTGACAGTTCTGTTAATACAGAGCAGTATACTGTTAGCCTTTGTCTCTGACAGGGCTCACTGCAGACGTGTGTTTAGCTTGCTTTCCCCCCCAGTACCCCTGGCCCTTTTCCACAAGGCTGCTGTCTTTGCCTAACCTCACTTAGTTCTCAGGCTTTTCAGGACCAGTCCATTTCATGCCCTTGACCTTCTCCCCACCCCACAAGCAATCAAATCCTAGTTAGGGTGCCTCGATTTCTGCAGTTCAGCTCCAAACCTGTTTTGTTTCCTTGTCACCCCTAAGCTCTATGTAACCTGCAAACTCCATGAGATCCTTTCAAATACCTAGCTTCACTCTTCCCTGTGTTTGCATCAACTTTCTTCTCACTGCTGCTTGGACTGACTTTGCAAAACAACCTCAGATCTTACGGAGAGTGGTAATCCATGGACTCAGCCAAGAGACAAAACTGCTGGGAACATTTTCCTCTCCCTTTTGAAAGTCCCATAGAGATAGAATATGATTAACATGAGAAAGTATAAAATACTTTTCAAAAGCATACATCTTGTCAAAGTATGATTGCACACGAAAGAAAGGAAGAAACAAAACTCTGATTAAAACAAAGCAAAACCCACATCACATACATTTCTTCTTTCAAAGCATAGAGTCTCTACACTTTTCCAAAGAAAAAAAGTAGCCAAATTATTAAAATAGAATCCAAACAATGAATTTTCCCTACCCTCATCTTTAGAAGAGTAGAACTTTGGAGGCTGAAGTTATTGAAGACAATTCCACCTAAGACATAAATGAGAGATACATAAAATCTCAACTCCAGCAGTGTAAGCTTGGAAAAACTATGGGACAACTGAAATTAAGGTCTTACAATGGCAAATGCTGAGAAATTTGAGAAATAGTCAGAGCAGGGGAGAGCCATGTAAGGAGTATACACTGTATGTTGGTAAGGTGCGTGGCTGCACATTATATAACAGACATTTTCATTTTTAAGATGCAAATTATATGCTTCAAAGCAGCTATATATCCACCAACTTCACATTATTAAAAAGCAAAGAATGATACAAGCTCACACGTTCTGTGAAAATGTACTGGAAAGAAAATGTTCGAGTCCCTTATGTTTACCACAATGCTGCTTAACACCACATGAAAAAGAACCAGGGTATTCACACAGTTTGTTGCATTTGCAGAAACTTATCTTAAATGCTAGATGTCCTTGATAAGAATGTAAAATATGATATGAACCAGCTAGATACTACTTATTTCCTATCATACTTATTTAAATAATATCTATCAAACGCAGAAGGTTTCAGTAACTCCCCCTAACAGAAGCATAAGCATGATTGTGGTCTGGATGTACTTTGCTATCTCATGTATCACCAGTTTGTTAGCAGAACCATCAGGATAACTTTTCTTCCTGCTTGATAATGCTGATCTGTTAGAACTCAACTTTGTGCAGAAGTAGATTAATTTTGAGAAGACAAGTTTTCTCATGAAGCCAGCAGAAAACTAACCCAACAGCAACAAAATTGCCAGCTTTGTCAGTAGAAATATCTAAACAGTCTGTCAACTTGCACCCCCTCCACACATGTGGGCATTCTCATGGTTCACATTTTTTTTGTGGTGAAACTTGAGGTTCAATTTCATCCTACTAAAGGAAGGGAACACTTTTGAAATCTTTTTGCTCAGAACAGAAAAGTTTTGCTCCAAGCCACACCGTACACCAAATACTTTTCAAAGTTCTGTGCTGTCTACATTCACCAGCAGCAGAAGGAAGAAATACGTCAAAGAAAAGTGTCAGTGATGACAATTGATTTAGATTCACAGAATTTTTGCTATGTGCTGCATGTTTAAAATATTACACTATGGATGTTTATATCAAAGCTCTACCTTCCAAGGTGCCAAGCACCTTCAGAAGTGGCTTAAGCTAAGGACCCACAAGCCCACTGAAACCACTGGGAAACATACATACCAAAAGTTTAATTTGCAAGTTTAGCCACCAAGTCTCTGGGAAAGCAATAGAAGCAACATTTATTTCTATAGTCAGACAATGCTAAAATCAACAAGCTTCTGATTAGAGATGCTGGGCATCTCTCTTGTGCATGCCAGTAATAACAGAGAATTTACTGCATGCTAATAGTTATTTTATTCACATGCAGCTTCATATAAACTTTAGCTAAACTGAGGATTCCTGTAGAGGATTTAAAATGCCTTTTTGTCAAACTTAGCACATCAAAGTTAATAATAATAATAATAATAATAATAATAATAATAATAATAATAATAACAACAACAATAACAATAATAATAATAAGCAGCAGCAGCAGCAGCAGCCGCCACGGCTTGGCTCCAGGACACATAAATAAATGAATTTCTCTAAGGAGGACTTACAGACATTTTGAAACTGTAGTTAAGCCTCATAAAAATCCCAGTGTGGTAATCCAATACACATATGCTTACTGCTGAAAAGTCATCTTGAAGCCCAGAGAAGCTGAATTAATTGTTTCATTAGTTTACCATAGTCCATAATTCCTAGCTCTAAATCTCTTTTGTTTATTGTCTATCACCATGACAACTCAATCAAATCAGCACAATATATAAAAACAGACGAGGAGACTGCAATATAGAAAGCATCTTTTCTTTACTAAATGAGCTTTATGACACAATTCTCAAGCCCTAAAAATATTTTCAAATGAAATACAGTTCATTACTGTGGGTTTTATTATTATATCTGTTCCAGTAGCACTTCAATACTTCTTTGAAGATCAGTGGCATAAGTATTCAATATTTGTATTACAATAGCTCCTAGAAGTCTTGACCACACTATTACCACTCTATTACCTTGACCATGGATTCTTGGGGTAAAAAAAGCATAAATCTTATCTACTGAACAAAACAGACAGAAAAAAGGAAAGAAAAAAGACATCTGCTTAGTCTTTCTACAGGTCTGATTTTTTTGAAAAACAGAGTTGAGTAATATATTCAAAACTGCATAAAAAGCCTATAGTTAACCTAGGGATTGAACTCAGATTTCTGGAATACAAATGTATTTTCTTAGTTGAATGGCTGGTTCCAGGTTTATTGGATTTTTCTTTTTACTATATTGCATAGAAAGGATCATAGCAAAAAGCAAGAGAAATACAAAAAATATGTATGCAGTAATATTTCCATTGGATAAACTATTCAAAAGAAGATAAAATACTATGCCCAAATATCAAAGGTTTATATATGTGTGTACATACTTTCATATATATACATATATATACTGTATATATATAAACATCTATATATGACTGCAGAAATTATAAAGCCAAAAATCCAATTCTGCCTACTATATTCTGTCTAATCTCACCATGTGTCTTTCTACCCCTACCTCGCTTACATACAAGTATACACATATTCCATAATGAGTAGCAATGGAAGCTATTGCTAAACTGAGCTGTGGAAGCATCTTATATGTCCCTTTTCCAGTAAAATTAATTTTAATTAGTAAATACTAATAGATTTTAGTAATTTACACTTTTTCTTCATAGGGAAGAAGCAAGCCAGTGGCTACTATTCTGTATATTTCTGAGAAGTTTCATTTCATTATCCCATACATTTAGACTTTTCATTATCCCATACATTTAGGCTTTTTCCTTCTCCAAAACCTTGGCATCAAAATAAAAACAAAACAAACAAAAAAAAACCAACCCCAGAACCCAACTGACACCTCAATTTTGTGATGAAGAATCTACTGTCTGATGTTTCTTCCCCATACTATATACTCCAAATATTTTATTGATGAAACAAAGCAAATCTAAGATGTAGTTGTGTTTTAGTTTTCCTTTTCAATTATGGATAATAATTTCATACTCAGTCATCCTGTTTATGCTATACTTCATGGTCAACTCATTCTTTGATTAGCCTTATGGACAAGAAACTGTTTCAAAGCCAAAAAACCCATTGCTTTACAGTTGTCCCATTGTCTAAAATAAATTGGCTTTCTGGTAATCACATGATGGTTATATCTCACAACTATGTCTGGTGTGTTTCCTGTTTTGGGTTCTCTTATTTAAACAGAAGAAAAGTTCTCAGAAGCTGGTGGTAGATGGGGAGAGACTGAATTGGCAGCTTTATTACAATTCAATATTTTTTCTGACAAAGGCATAGGAAAAGAAGAAAACTGCATTAAGCATAGTAACATAAGTGAAGGGTTTCAGAGGAGTCTAACTGCACCAAAAAAAGTACCATCTCCATCCAAAGATATTTTGGCCCTCATCCGTGGTATTGTAAGTTGAAGTTCATCCCCTTCTTCTAATTTTGCAATGCCTGGCAAAAGATTTGAATATTTTAAAGTTAATATTTCAAATGTATTATTTTCATAAACAATATTCAAAAAGTCATTACATGTCATCTTACAAACATAAGCATGGCTTGTTACTTGTGACAAGTTTTTTTTATTTTTAGGCACAACTTTACAAATTGCAGCCTACCCAAAGCTGACACTCAACGTCCTGTGTGGAGCTGGACCTATTTTCCACTCTGCACTCAGCATATCACAGTTCACTTAAGCAAACACTGCAAAAATTCGTAACAGTGGTGCAACCAGATTCCTCTTGGTTTATGGTGATGTGACAGTCAAGGTCACCACTGGCTATTGCTGGTCCTAAATCACTCTGTTCCCACACTTTTGAAGGAGGTTTCATGAGCTTTACCAACCAAATGAAGTTACCAGACATCAGCTGATCCACTGCAACTGCAGAGCACAAAAGTCTGCTTCCTGCCAGCCACACATCAGCTGATGTGATAACCAAAAGCACCTTCCCTTCAGTCTGCAGGCCCTGAGCTGAGAGCACAGCTAAGATCTGCTGCAACACATGCTCAACACAGCATGAGATATTGCAGTGAGATTTGTTTTTTTCAGGTGAAAGCAGAAGAGTGGGAATTTGGGAAGCAGGAACTGTGAAGTGGCAGGATGGAGTAGAGAACCTAGTTAAGAAAGGAGGGGGGAGTAATACAAGGGTGAAATAAGAAGATAGATTAAATTGAAGGTGGTTATGATGACAGAATGTGTGGGTAGATGGGCAGAAAGTTAAAGAAAATGTTTGGACAGCTTCAATTGCTAGGAGGAAGTAGCTAATTTATTTTTATTTGGAAAAAAATAAGCCTCCTTCCCCATCCCTTTTGTTTAATGCCATTACTTGCCAACAGTCAATTCCATCCCTCAATGTCACCCATATTTTTTTTTTTTTTTAAGGCATTTTATTCACACAAATCTTGCTGGAAAATAACAAAAGAGAAAACCCTCAAATCCACCATTAAGGAGGAAAGTCAGAGAGATAAGAGCTACTGAATGAGGCTTAATAGGCCTTGACAATAATTTCTTAAATGCTACTGCAGGAATATATGTATATCTTGAGCATTGAGCCTGCTGGATTTGCATTAAATATTTTAATTGATCTTTCTTGTGCTGTTTGTAAATTGTGCAGTCAGAAAGAGCTCCTTATAGGAATTAATTATTTTTCATATAATCAAAGATTAAAACTGCAGTAGCCATCATGAGGAGTAGAGAATTAAGCCGATAAGAAATATCTTCAGAAATCCCACAGTAAGGTATGTAAAAACTGTGTGGCTAAAATTAATATATGATATTTTAAAGCAGAACATAGCTCCTAAATATTTTACTGGGATAACTAAATGTGGAATTCAACCCCTAAATTAAACTGAGTTCTTCAATAAGATCAGTATGTACTCTTTTTGTCTGCTTCAGGCATCTAACTGAAAGCACCAAAGTATCTAACCACATTACATAGTCAATGGAAAGAAGAGAATTCTTCAGATCACCTACCCTCCAACTGCCAATACTTTATATAAAACCATATTTTTTGCAAGTATTCTGTAATTTTGCAATTAACCAGATCCATGAATGCAGTCAATTTTCTTTACAACTGCCACAATATTTAAACACCCAGCACTACAGATTCTATTTGATACAGTTTATTTTCAAACAAAGAAAAGGAAAACTTAGATGTTTACCAGCAGTATAGCAAGAATTATTCGGATAATACTGTGGCATATTTTGGATGCAACGAAACAATGTCACCAAGCTGAGATCATCACCAAACACGTGAGCCTTCTTCCTCTGTATTAGGTGTCCCATAGCAAATGTTGTATCGGTATATAAAACCTAGAGAATGAAGAGGTGCAGACTTCAAACATATTGTATAGAGACATTAAAAATCCCCTAAAAAGTCCGATGCTGAAATGAATTGAGCCTTCTCACCTGGCCATATATGAAAAAATATCCTGTTTCTTTGATCACTATTTTATTTCCTTGTTCTTCCAGAGCTGTTCCACGTTTAAAGCTCAGAAGCCAAGGGACAATGCTTGAATCATCTAAAAGAAACAATAATTTTGGGGTAATCAGAAAGAAAAGTTGCTTACTTAATGTACATCTGCTGAAAATTAACAAAGCTAACTTCTAGTCAAGAATTCCAATCTCACTAGCTGGATTTCCCCACTGAAAAGAGGATATTTGCAAGAGTTCTCTAGATGCAGGATGCAGTGATTTCTTTAAAAAAAAATAAAAAAAAAATTCAGCAACATAACTCAGTTACTGTTTTGAAGTTGGATAAAATTGGATGGAAGAGTTAATACACTGAATAGTTACCTATAAATCCTGGAACATATTCTTACCTTTCTGCTGGATATCACTTTTGCTGTCAGCGATCAGTTGCAAGCAGGCTTGCAGCACTGCAAAGTGAAAACATTTTGAAATGAAAGAAATATAAATCAGTAATAGAGTAAGCTTTTGAAACTACTTTTAAAAAAAAGGACATAAAAAAAATCTTCTCTCAGTCTCACCAAGTATTTGAAAACATAATCTATTGATTTTAATGCAGCTTTTACTCAAATGTGCCAAAACAAAATTCATACTATGCGTACTAGATAACTTTCAAAGATCATGCAGCTAGGCAGGAGGCCTGATATAGTAGCACAAGTAATACTTGTTTGTTTTAATCTCTGGTCCTAATATAATTGAAAAATGCAGCAGTAAGTCAGATGAGCTAGGAATCATCAGATCAATTAGCCTTAGTTGATTTTCTAAGCAAAAGCCCCAAAAAACCCCAACACTGCCAGCTATGACAGATATCAGATTTTCTAATGATGTTTACTATTTTACTTAAAGAAATTAGTTTCCAGTCATAGTTGCTGTAAAATATTAGTCATATATACTGGTTACATGGTACTTTCACAATAAATTGTCAAAATCCATGTATACGTACTTTCAATATATTTTCAGATACCCACACTCAGTTAACCTATACTGAGACTAAGAGGGAAGATACAGAGATGACTGTTAGCAAATTGATGCTCATATAACAAATAGCTTAATATCTGTCCAAACTGATGTGTTACTCAAAACTGTAGGGACTGGTGACAATAATGAGAAACTAGGAGTTTGATCAGAGAAAAGTACTTTGGTATGTTAATATCTAGGCTCACAAGTGAAACAAAGGTCTTTTTAAAAAATCTGCTAAGCATAAATGTCAGGGGACAGGATATAAGAAAAAAAGGATAGTTGCATTTGCTTAGAGCAGATTTTAATTAAAACATCTGGTTCTAGTGCTATTTTGAAAGTTGGAAAACAGAGTAGTAACATTTACTGCACTTGACAGAAACCAAATTAATTTACTAACAGTCAAGAGAAAAAAAAAATTACATGGATTGCTGAATCTCCATTTTTGTTTACCTCTTTTCAGGTAAGAAAACTGTGGGTCAGATTTGGCCACTCTTGCTATTGGGATCCTGTTTCTACATCTGCCAGTGGTACCCATGTGTGCAACCCAGCAGCACAAACCTCTCTCTACACAACAGGTAGTGAGAGGATTTGAGTAGAAAGCAGCCTCTCTGTATCTAAGTCTCCTTTCCAAGGGGTTTGCCTGAAAATACCAGAAGAGGGCTGGATGCTCACCAGCACTCAGCTGTGCCAACTGGCAGCAGAGATTCAAGCGCACAACTGGGAATGCTCCAATGCCACAGCGATCCCACAACTTGTGAGCCCTACTTACATTCATGGGAACACTATCCTTCCAACTCCCATCTCCTACACTGGAACGTGTTCTAATAATACTCATCAATAATGTGCCAAAATCTATCGATTTTCGAACCAAGAATTTAAAGGCATCTGAATTCCCTGCCTTCTGATAAGGAATAGAAAAAGTAGGGCAAAACAAGATTGAAAAAGGTATTATACTTCAGTCGTTTTTCTATTACACTTGCAAGCAACAGAATTTTCTGAAAAAGAAGGTTCAAAATAAAATAAAAATGTGTTTTTCTGGAATCGCACAACAAAGCACATCAGGCAAATGATTTCACAAGGTGTTCACGCACTCTCCTTTGGAGCAAAGTGCCTCTCTAGTGAAGGGAATTTGCTGATTCCCTAGTGTTTCAGTAAGCTAAATCAAAATTTTCATTTCTGCTTTTAAAACAACTCACTAGTGTGGCCAATGGATTTTCTACTAACCAAACAAGAGAGGATTTGTTATAATTTACACTAACCAGCTGCTACCCAGCTGGGTACCAACAAGTAGGGTCCACAAGCAAAGCTATGGCTGCTTTAGCAACTCTTGTTAAACCTGCTCTGCAAACTTGATTGACGTTCTTGAACTATCCTGATTCATAGTTTGCAAGTCTGGATTTATGTTTCAGTCATTTGCAACATTGAAATACTAGTCATCAATGCCAAGAACTGCTACACAATAATTAAAATCAGCAAGTTCAGGATAGTCTGAGATATTTTAATATTTTTAAAACACAAACCAGTGCTCTGATATTCTACATATATCAAATCTACATATATTCTCTAAAAACCCACACTGTCTCTTTTTTTTTGTGTGTGTATGCAGGTAGAAATAAGGCTCCACACAATATAGTAAGCTTGCTCTTCATGAAGAAATATGGATACAGCAGTGTCATTCATGGCAATAAAGAGAACAGAAATTAGCACAGTAGCTTTTTTATCTGAAGTTGCAAAACCCAAACGATATCTAAAAAAGTATTTGAGGGATTGAACAACAGGCCTCAAAAAATGTTCAGAAGCCAAGAGTGACACATAACTATTTCCAGTATGTATGAGCACTTCACTTTGACCTCAGTGGTACTATATACATGCTTGAGATCAAATACTCCTTTCAAACAAATTCAGAGTAAACAACACTACTATTAAGAAGAAGATATGGATATATCAAGTATATTTTCTGTGTAAATTAACAGGTATTTTCAGTCAAAAGTTAACATTGATAAGAAATGTTAGCAATTCTATTCCAAGAAGGACCCAAATCTTACCTGAAGTGCTGTAACAAGAATATAAACATTACAAAATATGAGTTGAATAGTTACTATCAGTATGGAGCAGAATAAATCAAAAGCTCTACCTTAATGCCTTTCAGCCCAGTGTAAATCAACCCTGAGCATCAGGTTTGTAGTCTAATGTATTTTTATATAATTAATAATGCAAGCAGAATACAGGATTTGGAAAATGTATCTCAAAAATGTGTAAAAATATCTAGATGAGTGTCACCATGAGGTCTAGCTGTATAAAACAGAGTGCATCTAGAACAACAAAGTGTGCCCCATCCTCTTGTGACTTCATACAATAACTTTGCTTTGATGATTTTTTTTTTTTTTTTTTTTTTTCTGATTTTAACCGCTCTGTGGCCTGTGGGTGCGGAGAAGAACATTTCAGAATCTCTCTTCTTCCATGAAGAGAACACCCAATTCTGAAGAAGTCACTGACTCCAGATGCCTTTATAAACCACAGCCAGAACATGAAGGGATGTGTTTTCCACCGGTTGAGCAATAACCACAATTTAAAAAAAAAAAAAAAAGCGCTAGCTTTTGCAGCAGGATAGGAATGCAGCCTTCTGCATATCTGCATGATTTAAGATCTGATATTGGTAAAATCAAATTTGCCTCCCATACAAGTTTTTGTATTATTTAACTTGTATAATCAAATTAATATTTTGCAATCTAACTTTATAATCCATCCAAACAAAATTTCAAGTTTGTTATTTGTGAACTCATTAATAAATTTTTAATTTTTGATATCTGAGGCTTGAGACATCTACCTCAATTTTTGCTGAAATAAAAACAAGGAAAAACCCTGAACTTCAAAAAACAGATGTGATTGTTTAGATTCCTTCCTTGGTCTAGATCTGTTCTCTGTAGACTTCCTGATACATACTTAAACACCAGGTAGTTCAGTTTATAAATTATGTGCATGTTCTCGAACAATTTGCAGTTTTTCTTCCCTTAACTTCTTCATTTCTCATCACAAGAGATCTTTTCCTTTTTGCTTGTGCATTTTTATAGACTGGTTAATTTGGTGATTTTTAATTAAGAAGTCTTTATATGTTGTTAATAATGGAATAAATCAGTCCTTACATTAAAATGGTTTGGTCACATTTACAGGTACTTCTCAGATCTAACAAATATCTTCAGGGTATTGGTAGCATTATTTTAACCTTAACAGAATTACAAGTAACATGTTACAATCAGAATAACAAAGAAATAATTTATTAGGAATTAAGAATATGTAGATTCCTATTCTACATTGTAAAGTGGAATATTGTTTTTAAAAAATTAAGCCTATTTTGTGTATTTTTGATTGCACAGTGTTCTGCATAATACACAACACTCATTCATTTAGTAAGTGGAACTCTTCATGTAAAATTGCAAGCATTGTATCAAGTAATTTTCTACTCTTTCACATAGAAGGGCCTACTTCCTTTTGAGTTAGCCTGTTGTCAGCAGACAAAAAAGAATAACATGGCTTTTCAAGAAGTAGGGCTTTTTTTTTTTTTAATTAAGAGAACTCTCATATTTCCCCTCTTCAAATAATAAAATGAGAAGTATTTTGAATATTTGGTAAGAGTTTTTTATGTGGCATTTGGTCAGAGCAGTAGCAAAAGGGTTAGTTTTCTGGATTCAAAGATCGCTAAAGTTCTACTTGCAAAATCTCTTGCTATCTCTCTGTCACAGAGATCTAAAACAACAACATAGAGAGTCAAAACACTTGTAACCAACAAATGTACCAATTTGCCAGTAAGGCAACTATACCAAGAAAAATGGCAAAATTCTCACAACTTGTGTGCCACATTTGCATGGCAATAGTTACTTCCCAGGGACACAACTGATACTGGGTAGAATCTGGGAACTGTTAGTAAAAAATTTGCCAAGTCACATGCCAGGTTAGCCTGTTTCACTCTTTTGTGGAATTACTCAGAATTTCTCCTCACTTCCTTCCATACATGCAATCAGACTGGTTGAGATGGATAACCTCAATACAACAATGTAAATATAGGCCATGGGTGCTCCAATTTGATCACAGCAGAAAGTTACCTAAATTTGAGTTGACAGAAGGCCTGATACTCACCTCTCTAGTTAGCCACAGGAATCAGAATCCCAAAATAATGATCAGAATGAGACACAAATAGAGCGTGTAAATGAAACTTGACATTTGTACATTGAACTGGCTTAGGTAATGGAACCTGTATCTTGTTCCTGGACTCAAGCGCACATCCAGCTTAGAGAGAAACACGCAGGCAAGGCAATCAACAATTGTGACCATAGTGTAAAATACAGGAGAGGTTTTTATTGTGTAGCAATTTTCCTCTACTGGCAAAATTTATAAAAAGAAAGACAAATAAGAAAAATTACATCTGTTCTTATGTGTCCTGATAGGACACTTGCCAAAAGTGGTTAGATGATCTATCTCCCTGCATATTAATAATAGGTACCTTTCAAAATCACCCATTAACTCCTACTCATTGTATCAAGAACTCTGGTTCTGACTTCAAACTGTACAGCTGTATTTGGAATTGATGCTTGAAACCCATCTCATCAACCTACTTGAGCTGGAAATTTTCTCAAGACACCAAATGTACATACGACTACTGATGATTAATAGTTTTATGCATGGACACAAACAGATGCATACCTCATAAAAATATGAAAGAACAACATTGTGTTAGATCTATTTTCTTTCAATTGTAATTTAAATTAAAATTCTAATTCATGGTCACTCTTATGCACAGAACATCAGAATTTTATTTTAAAAAAAAAAGAAAAAAAAAAAGGAAATTACACATGTCCAAGAAGGAAAGAATAATGGGGCATCAATTTCTGGAAATTAATAACCAAAGTTCAAAAATAAAACAGAATCAAACCACAACTTTATTTATAAATAAATTAATAGGTCTATATTTTACTTCTGCTCTCTGATGAGAAGCAATTGTACATCACTGTCATTTTCAAGTATTAACTTTCTAAAGAATTGGTCCATATTAAAGTGAAATTATGAGTCAACAATTAATTATGAGACCAGACTCTGCTTTGAGACCTTGTTGAAGCAAATAGAAATAGAACAAGAGCAAGGCATCTCACTCAATACCCTAATTTATCTGCCATGATACCAGAATGCATGCAGTGCATCTGCAGGATAATTTGGAGGCTGTTGGTATTCTGGTACTCAGAATTGGATGTGAGAAGATCAAAATGCAGGGCTAGTAATTGTATATACGTGACCAGGTAACAGACAGGATTCAGCACCATGAACAACACCATGTTCTCTTATTTCACTCACTCTGCTAGAACAAAATTTAACGTTGACTAGTAGGTTCATGGTCACCAGTGAAGTCTGATCTGAGACAATGTAACATCTTACTGAACTCTGACAAGTTTAATTTGTTGTAATTAGAGCAGGCAGAAACGTAACCCTGTCTAACAGATGAACTTATATATAAGTGCAAGATTTATAATTTTTTTTTTAATACAAAAATATGATGGCTGTGTTAGAAAACAGTTTTGTAATACGTCAACCTATGTAGCTTTTCTCTTTTAAATGAATGTTCATAATCTGTGCTTTCTATTGTCCAACTTAAATAATTTGAAAGACAGCTGCATCTTAAAAAAAAAAAAAAGAAAAAAGAAAAAAAGAAAAAAAAAAGAAAAGCTTTCAGAAATAAGTACCTTAATTGGAATTTTATGCGAAGATAAACAGGTATAATCAGAGGTGGCTACCTGATAAGAAGAATCTTACGTCTGCCAGAAGCATAGCTGAGGAGTTCAAAACCCTCCTCTCTGCCGTACACCCTCAAATAGCAAAAAGAATAAAGATGAAAGCTGCTGTGAAGGGAATTGAATAGCTTGCAGAATACTGATGCTATAACAGTCATTTTTAAAAAGTCATGCCTCCTTATTTTTTAACATACTTGTGCTTTAGCTATAAAGGATCGCTAGTCTTCATTTGGGAGATGGTAGGGTGGGGAGAGCAGGGAAGCTCTGTGGCTCCTGTCATAGGAAACAGGCTACAAGAAATACAGTTTAAGCAATCTTCTCCTCGGTCTTGTTTGTGAAATCACTCTTAGCCAAGACTGTGAACCAAAAATTATTAATGAAATAGAATTAATCTCATCTAAAGCTGTAGATTTTGGGTTATGTCCTAAATGAATATTCTCTTTTGAGAGACTTGGAGGTAAATAGAGTGATTATACTCCAGAAATTAAACTTCATTTAGCTTGCTGAAGCTTAAGTGGAATACATTTTACATTAATTAGTCAATAAAAGCACAGTTTAAGCAACATCTGATTTAGTCTTTAACTCCATTTTAACTTCATCTATTAATAATTTAAAGTATCAGCTTTCATCAGTTAAAACAATCTAAAAGTATCCATAAGAGGATTGAACTGATTTAGCAACTCAGGAACATTTTTATTTACTTGGTGCAATTAGAGTTTGTACAGAAATTAGTATAATAAAATTCTGTATTTCATCCTCTCAGGCATCATTGTGTTTGTAAAAAGAAAAACATGTAGGTATTTTATTCCCAAAGGAAACAAATATATTCCATTAATATTCCAACATTTTAATTCACATCAGATCTCTTTTATGGAGCACAGTCTTCAGTGTTCTCTGCAGCACCTTTTAAAAAGGCCATGATAAAAAAATATTACTAGATAGGCATACCTTTATTAATTTTCCTAATTATATTAATAGTTTGTTTTAATGCAGGAATGACATTAAAATTCTGAATTCCTTGTAGTCTGCCTCTGTTGACAGGTGCAAGCCAGCTTTTCTCTTTGAAAGCTCCTATTTCCCTGAAGTTAAGGATCTTTCTTGTTATTTCTTTCTTTTAGGATAAGCATGTTTTCCCAGCAAAATGACTTGGCATTTTTAATTACAGCTTTCCCTCCCTAATACTGATCAGAGAGAAACAAGTTAGGCATTACTCTGAGTTGAGAATGATGGATTCAGAATTGAGCAATTCACAATCTGAAAAATTTTAAGTGGCCTTACTCAACGCTACCACATCACTGAGAAATACCTACCTCTGTTACAAGAAGCAGATTTGGGATCTAACGTTCAAAGTTTAACCTGCAGATAGTATTAATATCTAGTACCTTAAACAGTATGGTAACCATTAAGAGAACACACCTACAGTTCACACCATTCATTCAGCAATAATAATAAAGACCTTAATGGGCTCTGGGAGCACAGATCGGCTGACAGGAGAAGATACGAGTCAAGCACTGCTGCTTTTCTCAAGACAGCATGCAAAGGCAGCATCCCAACCCGCTCCACCGGCTGCTATTTACCTCTTTCTTCTGTGTGGACAACAGACCTTCTGCCCCTGTTTCTGCTCCTGTTCCAGATTTCCTTTTGGAAGCTTTCAGCTGGGCCAGGACCAGGAAGCCTGTTCTCCTGCCAGGGAGAAGAGACAGTCAGTGAAAGCAGCCTGATGTTTGCTCATCCCCTGCCAGTCAAAACCACCCTTCCCAGCTTACCTGCCTGGCGCCAGCTGCAGACACTTGCAGGAAGGAAGAAACAGGGATATTCGCTTTATTTTCCTCAGGGAACACGGGTGGCTGGTCTAGCAGAGACCTTGCCTGGACCCTGTGGATCAGCTCACTGCGCAGAGCTTCTAGTTCTGTTTTCAGAGTGATAACATGGTAAAGAGACACTGCTGCAAGACAAGAGGACAGGAGCATTGCAAGCCACAGGAATGTGACAGAAAAAAGTCCCGCGGTGCCTGAAGCAGCACCAGGGGGGGCAGAGGGAGAGGAGGCGGTATCCTTCTGCTGGATGACGTGCACACAGTCCACGGATTTCATCGCTGCTCTTTCCTCACTAAAGCCGGAGGGAGAGTTCAGCTGTCCCCTTCTGAGGTGCAATCCATGTTACCAGTTGCTCTCTGAAACTAAGGGCATCCAGCATAAGTGAACAAAACGCCCAGATCATTTCCTGTCATATGAAGCTGTTGATAGAACCATTAAACTTAATGTACAGAGTGAATGTCCAAGATTTGGTCTCCGTTTAGCTTTCTTCTTTCTGTGCTGCATTTTGGAAAAGAATACTTTCTCATGAGTTTCTTGCTCAATCTACCTTCCTCCTTTCACTTTCAACTACTTATTTATGTGGCAGCTTGCTATTACTGTTTCCCATTATCTTTAAATGTGGGCACAGCCAGTACCACTGGTAAATTAGAGCCTTATCTGAAGTGCAGAAAAAATATAAAGTTTCCTGGCAGCATCTCATCCAGTGCTACTTAAAAGACATACACATTATGACAATGCATGTGCCTCTGTGTGTGTGTAGGTATATAGATGTACTGCTTATATACATTATATCATATATATTAAGACATGTATAATCATATCTGAAGTGCCTAAATGCCTACAGAGGAGACAACCTATTCAAACAAAAATTTTTGTGGTTTCCTAAACACTATAGTGAAAAATAGTCCCAGATATGAGTAACAAATTACTGGTCTCTCAACGGTATGAAGTTACAGATTCTGCAGTTCAGTTCATCATACTAACTTGAAAAGGGATTACTTTTTATTGAACTTATCTAATAAATATAGTTTCTCCAGAGAATTCAAGGACCAGGATTAATGGAAAAGGGGACACAGAGAATCAGAGAGAGGAAACTTGGGGCTGGGGGGAAACTAGAAGGGGTGAAAACTAGAGCAATGGGAAAGAATAAGAGAAGGGAAAATAAGAACAGTGAGGGAAAAGGGCAGAGGGGTATAGAAGGAAATAGTATTTAGAAAATAAAAAAAAACAACAAAACAACAAAACTTTAAACATTCATACTTCAGTTTTTCAGGTTAATTCTGGGTGTCTGGCTTAGGCTCATCTTTTTAAGATTTTACTAGTGCTTTCACCTTAAAACCCTGCATTAGGAATTCCTTCCTTCTCTGTGGCAGCAAGGCTACCTAAATATCCCAAACATGTTTATAGAGTTTTTGCATTGTCTTCTCACACAAAATTAGTTTTATTCCTTTGTTAAAAGTTTCAGTGGTCTGGGACAGAAAAAAAAAAAATAATCAAAAACCATCACAATTAGGGCTAAAATCAACAGGTCAAGCCACCCCTTCCTGGAATCTGAATTTTTTTACCATGTAAGTAATCTTTGCAAAACAGAGATCTGCTACAGGTCTGTCCAAATACTGTGTAATGAATCCTGATGGCAACACTTGTCCGAGTAGTTCAGATCAAGTTGATTCTTCCAGGAAGGAGAAAGAAGAAGGAGAACAATAGAGTAACAACTTCTGTAGCCTCTCCCACTTCCGTTTCTTAAGACTATGAGAAATTGAGGGTTATTATAAGCTTTATCATCTTCCATTGTGATGCAAGGTACTCTTCTCCTTACTTTGCCACCTCTAGCAACCACCCTATATCCTCCATAGACAAAAGTTACAAAAGTAATTCTTTTCCTAAATGCAGAGGGGGAAAAAAAAAATATACCACATATCTTAACATGCCCTTAGAAGGTACATGCATACTGTGAGAAATGACACAGAAATCAGTGCCGGGTGAAATAAGAACAGAATACCATACCTATTTTCAAGGCTAAGTTAAGGTGTAAATGGGGCTACGTTTTGAAGAAAATGTAAGATGAACTAAGGTAGGTTTTTTGGAACAGAATAAGCAACTATTAGAACTCAGCAGACATGCCTTCAAGTATTGTTAGACATCAGAACATTACCAGCCTAGTACTGACTGTGTTTGAAAAATAAAATGTCAGTTGGAAAAGAAGTGCTATTTAAGAAAATTAAACCAAGTGAGAGAATGAAAGTTATAACTAGCCATCCAGCAATGTCAAGGAACAATTGGCCGATGAGGTCTCTGTGGTCATTAATATATAAGAAAGTAAGAGACAGGTATATAATTAGCATCACTCTAGTCACTTCTAGAGAAAATAGGCTGTTCCCAGCCTCCACACCTTCTTTAAATGGGGTCATTATTTGGGCTGATAAAATAATTGTGGTGACACAGAGGACTTCTGTAAGACATCTGGCTTTGCCTTGCTTATCATTCTGATAAATGAGAATTTCAAATGTGAGATGAGGAAAATCAGAAGAGCCCACACATGGCACATTGTTAAATTCAGCAGGTATTTCTAGTTGAGTATCAAAGGGATCACTGTTTGCAATCTTGTGTTGTTCTATAGATTCACAAGCACTTAAGCAATTAGAAAGAAAATATAATTTTAGACAACTTTTGCGATAATGAAATCATAGTGGAATAATCCACGACAGTGAGAGATCAATCATGATAAACAATATGAATTGCGTAGAAATATACTTAGTTGAACAACTTCCATTTTAACAAAATCAAATAAGGCTTCAGTAAATTGCATTAAAGTAAAAATTCAGAAAAAATAATTAAAAAAAGAAAAAGAAATCAAAAGAAAACAAAAAACCCCTGTGCTAGTTGCAGAGTCAAAAGCATGGAATTGGTGCCTTGATGCTTGCCATTATGTTGTGTCATAACTTGCTGTCTTTAGGATTCCTCTTGTTGGCAGAGCTGCAAAGTAGACTTCAACCTGCTTAAAGCAAAATCGGTAAGATTAACAGGCGTGCAGTTTCTTCTGTGTTTTAAACTAAAGTATGACTAAAGAGTGCTCAGATTAGCCTTCATTAGCAGACATGGGGGGGTGTTGACTCCAGCTGAACATGAGGTCTCAGTGGAACTTTCTTGTTGAAACAGAAGTGTAATATTTGGATATATATGCTGAAGGAAAATACTGAGCAGAAATAAGAGGTAACAGTAACCGTGTTTTTATATCGACAAAACTGTTTGCATATTGTTATGACTGCCAAAACCAAACAGTTAAAAGGGTTCAGAACAAAAATCCAGAATGAATATAAGAGGGCTAAAGAACTCATCACGGAAAGGGTATTCAGTTTGTGGTTAGCAGCCTGCTTCTACTGGCCAGCTTCCCTGAAAGCCCTTTTGCAAAAATTTGCACCATATTAACTCCTTTTGACTCAAGACACATATGCTATGCCACACATGCATGCAGTAAAACCTTAGGGCAACAAGCAACCACCTCAAGCCCAGTTCAAAGCAGTGTTTTCCAAACACTGTTTCTAGAAAAGAAAATGCCACTGCATTAAACTGCAGAAACCTAGTCCTGGCCATCTAACTCTGGAAGCAAATAGGAATAAACCCTTATACTAAAGGTATTCTGAAAATATGGTCCTATTTTGCATGCACAGTACAGCTGATCCATACGCACACAGTGAATCCAACCATTTAGTGCCTCCTTAACCCAAAGAATGAGCTCTGTTGAACACTCTGGTTGACTGACTAAGGGACCTCTTTAATTTAGCCAAGGAAAACTATTAAGAAATGTCTCCACTAGTCTAAGAGTTTTACTTAACCAAGTCTTTTGCTTTTGGGAAAAAGAGCAAACTTTTAGGTAAAACTCAAAATAATAATAAAAAAGAACAAACAAGAAGACTTTTAATGGGAAGAATATTTCACTAGAGGAAATAGATTCCTGAACAAAATCAAGGCCAGTTAATCCTTCTATGATGTTACAGTAGAAAGAAACACTGTAATTTCTGCAAACATTTTTTTTTTTAATTTCCATTATGCAGAGTATCAGATCAAATGATCAAGATAGGCCCTGCTAACCTGTAAATTTACAAAACATCATCACTACATCTGTGGGGAACCAAGGCAGAGATAGTAAGCAATCACACAGGAAATTTGTGGTTGAACTAGAAACTGAACTCTTTATTTCCTGAAATTCAGTATTGTACTTTAACCACAAAAGCATCTTCTTTGAGGGGGAGGAAAATCTCATAATTAAATTTAATGTACAAAAGAGAAGCAGATGATTCAAATAAGAAGACTTGGATTAAAACCCAATTTACTGAAGAAATGTGAGTTTACTTAAAAACAAATGTTCTGTTTTTATAAGGGAGGTTGTGCAGATGCTGCAACCCAGAGATCCAGGCACATGACAATAGCCATACTAAAAGTACGACTCCAGTAGTAAAGGTCCAACTTCACGTACTTCTGAAGCAGCCACAAAATATAACTGGTCCCTACAGTTATTACAAAAAGAAAGAGGTCACGATAGCTTACCTTACTATAGAAGAGAGTGCAGAACAGATCAGAGGAACAAAGAATAAGCAAAGGTTCCCTTTTAAACACATTTGATTTCAAGTACTTTCTGAAGATGGACAAAATGAACAGACTATTTCAGAGGAGATCAGAATAAATCCTGTATGACAGTTTTCTGTTATTGCAGATATCTGTATTAAGAGCATTCATAGATGGCCTCTGAAACAGTACACATTCCCTTCAAGGACAATAATCAGTTCTTTCATTAACTGCAATTTACACAGTAGCAAAACCAGGTAAGCTCCTGTCTCACATACGGATCCAAAAATCACTCTATTTGTGGTTAGTGTGCTCCTGTGGCTGTGTATCTTATATCCTATTATCTTACATTTTAGGAAACTGTTGAATACTTCGCAAGTAAAGGGTGTATTATATAAACTGTTAAAGCCTTATTACCTTGTTAAAAAGAAAAAAAAAAAACCAACTCCAAAACCAAAACCAAAACCCTATGAGATTTTTCTGAAACTAAAAAGGTATTCCTTTCTTTTTGTCTCCTAATTTCAAAATTGCCTAGGATAACACAAGTGCCTCTGCATATTTTATATATGCTATGCTTAATTTATTCCTTGCCTAAGACTTTATTTCTCTAGACATCTAGACGATTTGGGTCAAAAATCTGGCATGCATACTACACAAAGTAAACATTCAGTTGGTTTGCAGTCAGCATTACTTTTTACATGGTTATTACAGTGCTTTCAAAGAGAATAGGAAATGGCACATGAAGGAAAAGCAATTATTATAGGTGTCTCTCAAAGTATGCAGCAGAACCCAT